AGTTTTTAATTATTAGTTTTGATTGTTTAAATTTTAAAAACCAAAACTAAAAATTTAAAACCACAACCATATTAAATGGAGTCTAAATTAATACAATTTTACTTTTAGTAATAAAAGAAATTAAAACCAAACATATTTAGGAAATGACAAAGGTGAAGTCTAATGCGCGCACATAACCCTACCACTCACTTGTGTTCCTAAAGAACAAATCTGGTGCTTTGTTTTCAACGATTAAGTCAAACCAACCAAATGATGATGCATCATGCATGCCCACCTCCAAATTAAGTGCCGTGCATCAGCTTTCATCTCTCCCCTCCAGTTAGAGTGGCAGAATCTAAATGTCTTTAAAGGAATCTTTTGTGGTTGGCTCCAGAATCTGGGGAAGCCACACTAGGGCCCTCCACCCACAGATTCAACTAATGAACATATATTTAAGTAATTAATCATATGAAAGGACAATTACAAGTTACTAGGTTGTGCATGCGCACTATGCGAGGCTGTAGAGCACGAGCTTGCAGGTACTTGTATAATTACCATAGCTTTAATGTGACAAAGGAAAATGGAATCTGCAGAACTACTTTTGATTCTCCCAAATATATGAAGACGTCTAGGTTTACACCTGAATCTCTAAATCTCTGTAAGATACATGCTTTGTGCACAGTACCTTATGTTTTCAACAACATTTCGAAATTAAATGACTTTCTATTAGCAGGGGTAAGATATACAGCACAAGGCACCAAGACATGCCAAAGCTTTATCATTTATTATTATTATTATTATTATTTTGGTTCAATGACAAAGCTTTAATGTTAGTGGATCTTAATAGATTTTTTTTTCATATATATATATATATATACGAGAAATTTATTTACATATTATAAATTTTATATACTATATTTACATAAAATCTCAATCATTTATCTTTTTATTTTTAATAGTTAAAATTTATCATAATTTTTGAGATAAAAAAATACTTATATTTAATAAATATGAATAAATCTCAAATATTAAAAATAGAGAGATGAATAGTTAAGATGTTATGTAAGTGTAATATATAAAACTTGGTGTTTAAGTGCATCTCAAAGTTAGGATGCACTTACACATCACATGTACATAAATCTCAACCATTCATCTCTTAATTTTCAATGGTTGAGATTGATTACGATTTTTTAAATGAAAATAATAATTACCTT